ATTAGTCTAATCGTAATATGATTATCGAATATTATAATTTTAAATGATTAAATTCATCTTTATTTAATTTACTAGTATTTTATATGCGCAATGTGTACAAATATATGTCCAATATTAATACTTGTTAAAATATTAATTGAAGGATAAGTTTGTCTTCAGAGAGGTTAATTCGGTAGCGGATGCTTTGGCAGCTCATGGTGTCATGTGCTCGGAGCCTCTTGTTTTATGTTCTTTTCCTTCTTTGCCTGCTTTAGTTCATGCCCCCTTTTTCTTGGATCTTCATGGTTTTGACGTTTCTTGTTTAATAAATTTTTTTTTTGCTAAAAAAATGTTAAAATTTTAATTATATTAAAATATTTTTTAAGATAATAGTATATAATTTTTTAAAAATTCATGATTGTGGAATTCATATATTATATTAAAAGTATAGTTGGTAATTTGAGTAATAATTATGATATAAGTAATATTATTAAAGAGAATTTTAGATATGATAGATTACTAAATATAGTTATGATAATATTTAATTAAAATATAAAATAAATCAAACTTATTTCGTAATGTCTACCTACATTATTACTGTTGAAAAATATAATAAAATATAGAATAAATTACACTTTTGGTCCAATGACTATTGGGGTGTTGTTAATTTTAGTCCATGAGTTTTAAAACTGTCAATTTGGTACCTTAAGTATTCAATTTTTATCAATTTTAATCATTCCGGAGTATTTCCGGCCAAATTGTCGGCGAAAAGTGGCCGAAAAATATTAATGAATTAAATAATGAGGATACTTTTGTCTTTTCACCTGCTATTCCCCTTCTTCCCCGCCGAAACATTTTCCGGACGCTGATACAAACCACCGCCTACCTCCTCTACCGTTGAGAACTTCATATACCATAAAAAACCCAATAATTATCAGCATATTAAAAACCTAAATGCTTTCCAATGAAAGAAAAAAAAAAGATGAATTTACAAGCCCCGGTGGAAACGGAGTTGCATCAGACAGTTTATCAAGCCCCGGTGTCCTCCCTGATGAATTTACAAGGTACTGGTTGGGATGTGGATTGTGTTAAGGATATTTTTAATGCCCGTGATGCTAACTTAATTTTGAATATTCCCGTCAGTATTCCGAAGCCTCGTGATCAGTGGTTTTGGCAATGGGAACAGAAATGTGCGTATTCGGTTAAGTCATGTTATAAGCAGCTTACTTTGGCAGCTGCAAGCGATCGCCCATGGGCAAGTATTTGGAGTTTGCATGTCCCCCCTAAGGTGAAGAGTTTTTGTTGACAGTTAGCGTCCCTCTATGTTCCTACACGTGATATATTGATGACTAAGAATGTAGCATGCTTATTGAATTGCCATATGTGCAGACAAGTACAAGAGTCAGCCATGCACCTTTTTGTCCAGTGTCGGGAGGCAGTTCGGCTTTGGAACAAGCTGGAGATGCCGCATGTGAGTGCTTACGATGGTAATCATCTCGGTGACTGGTTTTTTTGGGCTTTGGGCACTTTAGATTTATTTTCGAAATCAAAGTTTGTTATGGCTTGTTGGGGTGTGTGGAGCAGTAGGAATGAGAGTGTGTGGAAGGGCATTGATTATGATTTGTGTACTATGTTGCATAGGGCGTTGGTGTTTCTGGACTGTTGGAGAAACGCGAACGAGAAGTTGCCAGCTGGGGATGCACACTCAGATACACATGCCGTGGCTACTTGGACTAGGCCAGCGCACGGGAGGCTAAAACTTAATACGGATGCTGCGCTAAATGTAGTGGATAGTGCTATGGGTTTCGGTTGGGTCTTGCGTGATGATGTTGGAAATTTCCTGAATGCTAAGAACATAAGAATGCCCGCGTTGTGTGCGGTTAGGGAAGCAGAGGTGCTTTCTATTCGGTAGGCGTTGAGTTGGCTAAGGGGCACAGGTTTGGGTGCGGTGGATGTGGAAACAGATTGTCAGGTTGTTTTTAATGCAATTACTTCGACTTCTTTTATTTCAGTTTTTGGTTATTTAGTAGATGATGTAAAGAATTTGGCATCTGAGCATAGTGTCGACGACTCGTCGGAACCTGGAAACTTCTCGACGATGGAGGAGGCGGTGGTTTGCATCAGTATCCAAAAAACGTTTCGGAGGGGAGGAGGAGAAGAAGAGGTGAAAAGACAAAATTGCCCTAATTATTTAACTCATTAACATTTTCCGGTCACTTTTCGCCATTAATTTGGTTAGAGGGACTGAAATTAAGAAAAATTGAATAGTTACGGTACCAAATCGACAGTTTTGAAACACATGGACTGAAATTAACAATAAATCAATAGTCATTGGACCAAAAGTGTAATTTACTCTAAAATATATTGTTTTCTACTTTCTCATTCGTACTATAATTCTGGGTTAAAATTCTACTCTAATATTGTAAAATTGTGTAATACAATTCGTATTATAATCTATACTATATATAAAAACAAAATCTTGAACTTTAACTTCCCGCCCAATTCCTAAAAAATCGCACCGCGGGAAGGCCGTAATCGGCCTCCTCCGCGGCCGCCTAACCGGCTGAACCGGCGATTAATTTTTTATTTTTTTTTAAGTTGTAAAGTATCAAAAGTTCGGCAAGGCATAACTTTTGACTCAGTTGTCCGTTTTGGACAAAAAAATTTTTGAAATCGTGTATTTTTTTGAGACCTATCCACCGCAAACAGCCGTAGGCGGTTTGGCCCACCATTTCTCAAAAAAATGTTTTATTAAATAGTTTCTAAGAAAAAACTCTGAGAACCTTATGTTTTATTAATGAATTTTTAAAATTTTTAATTAAAAAATTGTCCCGTGCATTATTTAATAATCTCTCTTTCTAATTGGTCAAATTATTTAATTATGGTAAATTAGGAAATAATTAATGGTGGCAATAGAAATCCTATAAGAATATAGAATAGAAGAATATTTTATTATTCTTATATTATTATTGTGAATCACGGAATACAATACAAGTATATTTAATTATGGTTATGTGTGTGTGTGTGGATATATATATATATATATATATATATATATATATATATATATATATATATATATATATATATATATATATATATATAGGGTAGGGTTCCAGTGAGAACATGTGCTTTGGTGAGAACGTGAGAACACATCATGTGCATCCATCTAATATTATTTAATGGTCTAGATTAGATTAAGTGTGTGCGAACGCGTATTAAATGTTCGCACACACTTAATCTAATCTAGACCATTAAAAAAAATTAGATGGATGCACATGATGTGTTCAAAGGAGTCGCGGTGATATTGTTTTGAATGTTGCTTCCAGTGAAATAGCTTCTTTGCTCTTGCTGGGAGGCAGGACATCGCATTCTAGATTTTCTATATCATTCCCTTTGAACAAAGATTTCACGTGCAATATATCGCAATGTATTGACCTTGTTGAGCTTATAATAATGAGTAAATTGATAATATGTGATGAAGCATTGATGACACACAAACACTGTTTTGAGGCTTTGGATAAAATCATGATGGATCTATTGAGGTTCGTCATTCCGAGTAGTGCTGAAAAGACTTTTGGTGGAAAGACAATAGTTTTGGGCAGCAATTTTAGACATATCATACCTGTTATTCCAAAAACAGCAAGACCAGTAGTTGTCGGAGCAACTATTAATTCTTCATACTTGTGGACAAATTGCAAGGTATTAAGGTTCACAAATAACTTAAAACTACGGACCTTAGTTTCAGAGGAAGATAGACAGACGGTTGATTGGTTTTCAAAATGGATTGCAGACATCGGATATGGGATTGCAGAGGTTGTAAAACGGCAGTTCATTTGAGATCGATATTCTGGTACGGTTTTTGTTGAAGTGTGGACACGATCTCATAGCAACTATAGTGGAAAGCACCTTCCCAAGCTCGAGATATGACATGCTTATGAGTCACAACTAGAAGACCGAGTGATCCTCTCGCGGACTTTAGATGTCGTTGATCAAACTAATTAGTACATATGCGACATGAATAGTGCAGAAGGACAAACATATTTAATTTGTAACTCTTTGTGTAAGACAGAATCAGACAATGAAAATCTATCAGAAGTACACACTCCTGAATTCGTAAATAGTTTGAGATTGTCGGATCTTTCTAATCATTCATCATTCATTGATATTAAAGGTCGGTGCACCTGTTATGTTATTGCGGAACATAGTCCACTCTCTTGGTATTTGTAATGGGACGCGGCTCATCATCACAAGATTGACATATCACATTTACCTAATTTATAAAAATCTTAAACAATGATATATAAAATCTCTAAAGTTACAGCACCGCATGCGTACATCTACACATTAGTTATTAATTTGAGCAATTATCAAGTAATGATAGCATCAACAAACATAAACGATCCAAACCATATCTTCAATTGCACTATATAATATTTGATGTTATAATTAAAATAATTGTATAACGACTCAAATATTTTTAATATATTATAACAAATTCATTCCGTGCAACGCACAGGTGAAAATGCTAGTATTATTAAAGAGAATTTTAGATATGATATATTACTAAATATAGTTATGATAATATTTAATTAAAATATAAAATAAATCAGACTTATTTCGTATATTATTCCAATACATAATGTCTACCTACATTATTACTATTGAAAAATATAAGAAAAGATATTGTATATGCATGTATATGATATAATAATGAGAAAAGATAACAGAAGTTATAACGTAGAGATATTTAAAATTGTATAGTATAACACTTATAGTATACAAAAAATTAACAAAAAAATAGACATAAATAAGGGAAATAATGATAAAGATCTTGTGGTCCAATGACATCAAGTTGCTCCCATACTACATTGTAATAGAGTTATTAAAAGAAAAAATAAGGAAAATAATCTTGATTGTCACTTATTATATTTTTAGATTTAGATTAGATTTAGATTAAATAAAAATGGAATGGACATAATTTGTCAATTTCTTAAATATTTCATAAATTGTCCTCTATCTATGGATGGACCCAAGGGGAAAGTAATCGTGGCGTTACGGGCTTACGGCAATTGAATATGGGGACGACGTTGCATCAACGCACAGATATGGAAAGTGATTCCGGATCCGCCACGACGCAATCGAGAGGGATGCGCTTGTCGAGTAACACAAACCATACAAAGGATCGGCGACACGCACAAGGCTATTACATAAAATCCACTTTTGCCCACAATTTCGTCACTATTCTTGCTCTGCGAACCACTCGACTTTGTGCATCTGGGAATGGCAGGAAAGCTTATGCGCGCTTTGCAGTATGACGGGTATGGAGGCGGCGCTGCTGGTTTGAAGGTATTTCTTTTACCCTTTGGCAAAAATTTTCTCTTTATAATGGTGATTTGGTCTTGTGATTGTTTAATTTGCCGGATTAATTGACTCTTTTATCGAGTGTGATTCCGATTTGTCTTGGTCAGTTGGTGTTTGAAATGCTATAGAATTGATTTTGTTGTTGGAATTGGGGTTGTATTTATAGGTGATTTGAGATCTAGAGTAGAATTTGTGTTGGGTAATTAAAGGAACAATGTTTTGAAGTGAAGAAAAAATTTGTTTTCAAGATAATACCATCAATCCTAGTATTAGAAAATAAGTAGAGGGTAGTGTGGGAATTATGTCTAAAGTGGGCAGATTACTTGTGCGCACTGACATCTGGCCTTGTCTACTGAGCCATTGAGTTAACGTGATTTACATCCTCCACATGCTCTGTCGGTCGGAGTGTGGGGCCTTTAGGGTTGAGAATTCAACCTTTTGGGAGAAGAAGAAAATAAGTAGAGGCTGCACGAGTAGTTCAATTTGCCCCTGGCTGTTTGTGGGCAAATTATATTATGCACCGCGCGTCTTTTTTTTTTAAATGAAAATAAACAGTGTTTGTTTTCGCCGTTTCGCACCCTTTTACAAAAAGTAACTCTGTTATTCAGTGCCATTTTGTATACACTGCAGTTTCAGTTCAACACAACTACAGTTTCATTTCGATATAACCATAGTTTCATTCGATATTTATAGACTCAAATATGTGAAAATGTTATTTAATTTTATTTTATATACACCATAGTTTCATTAAAACACAACTACATGATCATTTTGATATAATTACAGCTTCATTATACAATATACACTCAAATATGTGAAATGTTATTCAGTTTCATTTTATATACACTGCAGTTTCATTTCACTATAACTACAGTATCATTTTGATATAACTGCAGTGTCGGTTTAGATATACTATAGTGTCAGTTGGTGTTTAATACACCAAACAAGCGGACTCCGTTAACTCTAACGGCGGGCCGTTTCTTTACTTAAAGAAACGGCGCCGTTTTTTACCGCGGTGCACATGCACCGCGGTCTATAATATAACGACTGCTGTTTGTGGGTACCACACTGGCAGCGGTCCTTCGGTCGCAGGCCCTCACACTCTGCCCTGACAGAACATTTGGAACGATGTAAATCAGGGTGACTCAATGGCTCAGCAGAATGTCGGTGTACACAAGGGATCTATCCATTTTGGGCATAATCCCCACACTGCGGCCTTGATTTCTTCTCCCAAATACTGCCTACTGAACCATTGAGCTAAGCCCGTGCGGGCTACTCCTTGGGCGAGGGATTTCACCTTTGGGGCAAGAAAATAAGGAAGTGGAGGAAAAAAATTTCTTAGTTAAAGAGAAAAATGGAATCTTTAGCCAGATTGCATATTGTCAAAAAACTGCAGTCTAGTTTTACAGGTTTTGATGGTTCTGATTTTGTAAGAAAGAATCTAAAGTATAATGATGGCAAGAATTTTCATATGAGATTGGAACTGTTTTGACATGCATTGGTCTTGCAGCACATTGAAGTTCCTGTGCCCACTCCTAATAAAAATGAAGTCTTGCTAAAGCTAGAAGCAACAAGCATAAACCCGGTTGATTGGAAAATTCAAAAAGGGATGATCCGTCCTCTTCTTCCTGGCAAATTTCCTTACATCCCCGGTTAGTCCAATGCCTTGCACTCCTAGTATGCCTTTCTTGTTAGCAATGGAGTTCCTTGTTCTATCATATTGAGAGGAGTGCTGCTAATTATTGAAGTGAGATGAAAAGAATCGGAGAAGTAGAGAACTTTTCATGAACACTGCTACGTTTCTGTGCTGTATGACTGTAATGAACGCAAGCTTTGAATAGCTATAATTGGATTTAATCGCTCTTGCTATAAAATTTAGTGTCAGTTGCATGACTGTGAAGAATATAATTTGATGTTTATAATTTCTCCTCTTGCTATGAAATTCGGTCAGTAGCATGTCACTTATCCACGTCTCTTGGCTTATTCACTATAATTCTTAAGAATCTGATTTCATTTTTATATTTTTTTATAAATGAATAGTTTTATATTGACATAAGATCTGTCTAATTTTTTGGCTGGAGCAGCTACTGATGTAGCGGGAGAAGTAGTGGAGGTTGGGGCTGGTGTCAAGAATTTCAAGGTCGGTGACAAAGTTGTGGCTATGCTCAGTCATCTTGTAAGTATCATTGCAGCTCACTCGCGGTGGATTTTGGTTTGTGTTTTGTGATGAGTTTTTATCGTATGATAATGGATTTACGGGCTTGATAACAGACTGGAGGTGGATTTGCGGAGTATGCTGTAGCTAAGGAGAGCTTAACTGCCATAAGGCCACCGGAGGTATCGCCTGCCGAAGCTGCAGGCCTTCCTGTCGCAGGCCTAACAGCTCTCCAGGCCCTCGTTGGAGCTGCTGGGGTGAAGCTCGACGGGAGTGGGCCCCAGAAGAACATACTCGTGACAGCCGCCTCTGGTGGTGTGGGTCACTATGCGGTTCAACTAGCAAAGCTCGGGAACGCACACGTTACCGCTACCTGTGGGGCCCGCAACCTCGGGTTCGTGAAGAGCTTAGGGGCAGACGAGGTTATTGACTACAAGACCCCAGACGGGGCAGCTCTCAAGAGCCCTTCGTTGCAAACATACGACGCGGTGATCCACTGCGCCACGGGCATTCCCTGGTCTACTTTCGAGCCAAACCTGAGCAAGAAAGGCAAGGTGATCGACCTCACCCCCGGGGCTAGCGCCATGTGGACGTTCGCGGTGAAGAAACTCACGATGTCGAAGAAGCAATTGGTGCCATTGCTTCTAATCCCCAAGAGTGAGAACCTGGAGTATCTTGTTGGGTTGGTGAAGGAGGGGAAGCTGAAGAGTGTGATTGACTCTAAACATCCTCTAAGCAAGGCAGAAGAAGCTTGGGCTATGAGCATTGATGGGCATGCCACAGGGAAAATCATTGTGCAGCCTTAAAAGGCTTACTTACAATTGAATTCAAAGTGTTATTAGCGGCGAGGGAAACCCGAAACCTGCAGTCACTATCTGAAGATGTGCGGGCATTGGGTTTCTGCTACATGTTTTGGCTACCCGAGGGTCTGCACGGGGTATAGCTACATGTTTTAATAATGATTGGCCGAATATAAACTCTAACAACGTGTGCAAATACTTGTAAGAATTGTCGTGAATTTTAACAAAAGATACATAAAAAGAAATAATTCCTTTGGAGGTTTTATACAATTACATACATTCAATACAAATTATTGCTAATCTTCAAATTTGTAATCTTTTGAATTATTGCTAATCTTCAAATTTGTAATCTTGCCCTATAAAAATGGGAGGGTATAAATCGTAATTTTTTTTTTTTTTTGTTTGTCTTTAGTGGAATTCATACCTTGTATCATGTAGCTACTAGTTAAATAAACTCTCTTAGCCTTTGGGACTAGTATAGTGAATTAGTGGTTGATCACCTGACTACAAGTCATGACTAGAGGCAGCAGAGTGAGAGTTCTAATCCCATTTCAAACATCATTAAGTTGAATTTTCAACCACCAATGTGTGGATCATATTTTGTATACTGTAAAATAATGTATATTCAGTACAAAGATAATATACATTTAGTATTTTAAAATATATTTTTTGTTATGGTCTACATAACACTGTGTGGACCATGGTTCACACAATAATTTGCCACAATTTATACTATGGATCATGTCTACCTTACATTGTGGGCCATGATTTAAAATAACCTTCAAATTGTTTGACATATTCTGTATTTGACACATACCAATGGTTAAATTAGGATTTACAATGCAAGATGCACCGTAGCCCATAGTATAACAATTACATGTTAGAATATTGTAGTTGAAAACCTTACAACAACAACAATAATAATAATAATAAAATGAATTCTCTCAACTTAGTTCTCTACGTACGGCCATTCCAACACCAACAATACCATTCATTGGGTAGTGGCTTGAAACTAGCATGATAATGCATGGTCATACTTGGATAGGTAATTAAGGCTTTTAAATGTCTATGAAATAAATAACTTAAGAAATGCTTAATACTTTGATAGTACATTGTGACACGATGTTGACCTTAATTCATTTTGTTAAAATCAAACCACAACAAACATATATAATACATTTTCAGACGCAATTTACCTTAATTAATTCATTTCACAATAAACCAAACAATAACAAATACTACTATACTAGTAAGTGTCCTGTGCGATGCACAAACTATTATTAATTTAACAAATGAGCAAATTACACTTTTGGTCCTATAACTATAGGAGGGATGTTAATTCCGCTCCATGACTTTTAAAACTAACAATTTAGTCTTTTAAGGCTTTAACTATGTTTTTTTTTTTTTTTTTTTTTTTTTTTTTTTTTATTTTTATAGCAAATTTGGTCCTTCCGGCCAAATCCCCCCGTGGAAATTGGCGGAAAAACTTAAACTTTTTTTAATTTTTTTATTCATGAGGGCAAAATAGTCTTTTTACATAAGCTGTCTCATCTTCTCCGCATTCATGAGCTACGGCTAACAGTTGCCTCTGCTTCCAAGAAAGAACAACTCTAAGAATTGAAGCCCCAGGTTCAGAAGCAATGTATGATTTTTATCCTCAACTTTTTCTTCATGTCTACTGCGCATTTCTTGATTCATCTTCCCCATATCGCACGATATAAAGCTCTATAAGAGATCTAAACTCCCAGAAATATTCTTCTCCCTATTCTAGCCACAACCATCCTCCCAATTTCAGCCACAACCAAAACATAATTGTAGTATTGGTTGTGGTCTCGTGGATGATGGTTTATTTATAGTGTTGAAGTAGGTGTAGATGTTCATATAAATATTGATTCTGAATTTTAAATTTATCTCCAATCAATTAATGTTAGAAACATAACATAATTATTGCAATATTAATTCTCAATTATGGATCAACAATTATTACTCAAATTAATTTTGTGAATTACTCTCCTATCCACTAAAATCTTTTTGCTTATTATTGACTTTGATTTCCTTTTCATCTTTATTTAATTACTAGTTTTACCGGCGCATTGCGCGAATGAGTTAATGCCCAATGTTTATAATTAAATAAATATTTGAAAAGTATATCAATGCAAAATTATATATGAGAAGTTCATACATAAGTAATTTAATGTCAAATTTGTTTATTTAAATATGTAACTCATAATATATGAATACAAGATAATATAGGAGATTCATTATAATTGTCGCTAAACTTTTTTTAAAATAGGGATCAATGAATGAATCAACGGTACCAATCATTTATGTGTTTTGCTCAGTGTTCATTTAGTTCAACCATTATTGTTGAATAAATTATTATGGATAGAGAAATTCCTAATTTAAAGAATTTAGATGAAGTAGTAAAAATTTAAAAAATTTAAATATAATGTAACCCAAAGATATTGGACGGTTGGTAAATATGATGTAACCCAAAGATCAAAATGCTAAAGAAAGTGTTTGGTTATTCAACAGTTTGAGACAACAATTTGTTCCAAACCACTGAAAATACAAAAACTGCAATTTACAATATTTTCACTTAGCGTTTTTGAGAATGATTTCTCCAAAACACCTCTATATTTTTTAGAAAAAAAAAAATTAAAACTGTAGAGCCATTTCGACTCCTTGAATAACAAGAGCCAGTTTCGCTGGCTCACTGCTTGCCCATCAACGAATGGGCAAACTTATTTTTAAATTGGAGCCTTAAGGCTCATTTTATAAGAGCCTCAAGACTCCCATGCCACTTTTCTAATGTTCGGCTCCCCATATGTTTTATTTATTTTTATTTTTTTAAATTTTATTTCTTTTATTAAATTACTATTTTTTTTTTATTTTTTTACAACAACAACAACAACAACAATAATAACAATAACAATAACAATAACAACAATAATAATAATAATAATAATAATAATAATAATAATAATAATAATAATAATAATAATAATAATAATAATAATTATTATTATTATTATTATTATTATTATTATTATTATTATTATTGTACACTTAGGTCATTTTACATGTAAATCTAAACAACTAATTGTTTAAAATATCTTTTTACCAACCGTTGATATAATTCGCTGATCAAATCCGCTAATATAATTCACTAGTGGTAACCGCTAGTTGCTGATTGCGAAACAAGGACATTGCGAGATAGTTTCCACTTCAATTTGTTGTGTGATTTGAATACTCTCTTTGTCAACAAATCCCTCAAGTAGTTAATATGATTGGCTTAATTATATATATATTTTTAATTTTTTCATGGTATTAATAAAATACTTGGTAAATAAATAGATAACATTATTTTGTATTATAAATTTGATATTTAAATAAAAAATAGTGCACAAAAAAGATAATAGACAATGTAGTGAATATAATCAGTTGATTAATTTGAATGTAAAGAATTTTTACATTAGAGAAAAATAAAGACAATATAACTAATGGAATTATTTCTCTTAATTAATTTATTGATAATGAATAATTTTTTTTTTGAATAAAGACATTGTAGGGACAATGTAACAAATATAATCAATTGATGAATTTGAATGTAAAGAATTTTTATATTGGAGAAAAATAAAGACAATATAACTAATGAAATTATTTCTCTTATTTAATTTATTGATTTTATGAATATTTTTTTTTTTATGAATAATGGCATTGTCGACACATAATTCTAAATTAAAGAAATGCATATTTATTATTTTTTGTTGTAGCTAGCTACTAAATTATTATTTAATTTAATAAGAGTAAAATAGAGTACTAATAATTATGCCAACTTTGATTGGAATGGGGTTCGAACCTAGCAAATTATTCTGTGCACCATGCACGGTGTACACAGATGCAAAAACGACGTCGTTTTGACTAAAAACACGCGTCTAACTTTTAAAAAAAAATCAGTTTCGATTCATGTCAACAACATTATGTTGTGCATAATTTCTGAATGTACAGTTATGAAATTATGGATGTATAGTTATGTAATTCTGGATTTATAGTTATGAAATTATGGATGTGTAGTTATGCAATTCTGAATGTGTAGTTATGAAGTTATGCAATTCTGGATTTATAGTTATGAAGTTATGGATGTTTAGTTATGCAATTCTGATGTATAGTAATGAAGTTATGGATGTGTAGTTATGCAATTCTGGATGTATAGTTATGAAATTATGGATCTGTAGTTATGCAATTCTGATTTTTTTTTTTAAGTCGACGTCAAAACGACGTCGTTTTTGCATCCGTGTGCACCATGCATGATGCACACGAATGCATAGCATAACGACTCGACCTTTCTTATTGAAATTAATGAGTAAGTCAACGGTGAACTAACAGAAATTAACGGAGAAGATAATATTTAACAGAAAAGTTAACGGATAATCATATAATTAAGGATAAATTAGGAAATCTCAAGAAAAAAATTAAAATATGATCAATATGAGCCACTCATTTGATTAAAAAGATTGACGTCATTTTCTCTACACATTATAGGCCTAACTCTCTTTGGCTCTTATTAGATATATATACTAATTTTTTACGCGCATTGCGCGATTGAGATAATGCCCAATGTTTTTTTTTTTTTTTTAAATTTTTTTAAATAAGTACTTTAAAGTATATAAAGGTAAGATTATATTGGAATTGTTCATGCATAGTGATAAACATTATTTTTATTGTTATTTTAAATAATCTTTTTATAGTTAATTAATTTGCAATAATTAACTAATTTTATATATATTTCTATTATTATTGTTATAAATATCTTTGTTAGTATTATTTATTTTTAGGACTGTTTTTATTAAATTTGTTTATTATTTGAGTTCTATAGCAACAACAATTTCTTAATCTCAATTTAATAAGGTTATTATTATTATTATTATTATTATTATTATTATTATTATTATTATTATTATTATTATTATTATTATTATTATTATTATTATATCAAATATCAATATATCAATAATAAAGGATCGCAAACTTCTTTTCCGTAGTCAACAGCTACGATCCGATTGAACAGCGCAAGTTTTGAGCGAGAGAAAAGATCAATGGCGCTCTGTGATTCAAGATATTTCTGCGGCTATTCTCCATCGGAATTACGGAAGTGCAGTTAGAATGGACAATATAAAGGAGTGCAAAATCGGAGAAGACATCATCAGTTTTGCCCCAGACCAATTCCGGTGGCAGCATTTGAGAATTCTGATCGGCCACAGCGATAATTAATTTCGACGGCGCGGAGGATTGTTCTTCGGCATCTTCAATTCCAATTTGGTGGCGAATTCTCCCTTTGACAGCAAAGACATTCTTTGGCAATGACAATTTATTCACGGCAAATGTTGTCCCTTATCTTCACTTATTGTTAATTGCCATATTATTTAGTGCTTAATTGCTAATGAAATTGTGATTAGTCTTTTGAGAACAAGAGGTTGTGATTAGCCTTTTTGAAAGTTGATCAGGAGGTTCTGTAATCTCAATTAATATTTTAAGTTTTGTTTCTGCAATTTCAATTAATATTTTAATTAGTTCATTGCATTTGATTTTAAGTGAAAGTTGATTAGGAGTTTTGTTTCTGCAATTTCAATTCAGAGCATTAATAGTTGGTTATCTCTTAAACATGATTTACTAAGTTTTAATTGATTCATGTTTCTAGTCATTTTTCTTAATTATCTGCTATCTCAATTTCCTTGGTTTTTGATTATATTAGTTTCCTAAGGTGCCTTTATTTGATTTAATTTTCGAAACTCAATTTTGAATTCTTTTCGCTCTTTATTCCTGTGCTATTTTATTTCGTAGTTATTCAGTTATTTTGGATTTATGTTTGCAGTATCATTGGGTTAAATACATTTTGATTCTTAATTAGCATTGAATTTTAAAATTGTCAAGTTTATATTATTTGTAAGTAATTAAATTGCATCGTACAATTCTCTGTGGGATCGACCCTTGCTAAAAGCACACTAAAACTACAATTGACTCGTGCACTTGCGAGAACTAACTAAATTGTCCATCAATTTTGGGGCCGTTGCCGGGGAATTGTTTATTTTGCAATTTAATTTGTGTTCTTTTTCTTTCTTTAATTGCTTGATTTTTTTTCGCTATCCTTTCATTATTGTCATCTTCTTCATTTTTAATCTTGCATTTTATTTAAGTCATGCGTCCATTTAAAAACTGTTTTATATTTGTTTTTGCTTTCGCTATTCTCTTTATTTAATTTTCTCATTTCTTAACTGCTTGATTCTTTAATGCTATCTCTTTCTTATTATTTCATTTGTTTTTCCTTTTTAAGCTTGCTCATTTATTTAATTCATTGGTCCATTCTATTTTTTGAAAATTCTTTTTTCATTCTCAATCATACAAAAAAATCAAAGTTTGAAAAATTTTACATTTTAATATGTACTCTTTTTTATCAAACCAAAATAATTCTTATAATGATGATTTCGTACAGGCAAATTCAATTAACCTTTCTAATCAAAGGCCTGTGCATGACCCGTTTTATAATTCTTACAATTCGGGTTGGGAAAATCACCCGAATTTTCTTGGAATAATCAAAATTATTTTCAGTCAAACTATCCTAATTTTTATTGGGGTAATGATCAAAATGATTTTCAATCAACTCCACCCAACCTGAAAAACCATATTTGGAGGACTCCTTGAATGATTATATACAGGCTTGCAATAGGCGGCAAGAAGCAAATGATCTATGGTTTCAAAAGCAACAAGAAGAACATGATCAATGGTTCCAAAAGCAACAAGAAGAACATGATCAATGGTTGCAGATGCAACAAGAAGCTTATGAGCCCCAATAAACAGATGAACAACGATTTGAAGAAAATGAGGCTTGCTTTAAAGGAATAGAAGCACATTTAGAGAAAATTGTTAAATTTGTGCAAGGGCACGTGCCAGGTAAGTTACCTAATCAACCTGAGGATGCTCTGAATGATGAAAAAAACAAGTTAAAGGATAACATCACTTCTGAACAAATTGAAATAATTGAAAAATTGCATAATGATGTTGATGATATTATTGTAGAAAATGATGAGCCTCAATTGCATAAATCTGATAATCCTTATGTGTCCCCATTTCCATTTCCAAATAGGCTCAAAAGTTATGTGCCTGAAACTGTAAGTGAAGTGCTACAAAAAGATTTGCCCCTAATCCCTTTCGATGCTCAAGCAGACAAATTGACCAAAAATGTGCTTGATGAAACTATTCAGTTTCCAATTTTTATGTTTATGAATTTGTTTGAGAGGGCTAACCAGTGTTTTGCAGTTAAGGGGTTGAGTTTTGCAGAGGATGGTAAGTTGGAGTTTGAAAAACTACAAAAATCTTTTGAATGGCGTTGATTATAAATCATTTTCTTATTGTTATTCTAAAATTGCAGGGCTAAATGAGAATCCCACAAATAAAAAATCTAATAAAGGGGGACTCTTTTTGTCTTCTTTTCTTTCCTCTCACAACATTGGGGACAATGTTGAAAATAAGTGTGGGGAAGGATTTTACCCACAAATCAGAAAAAAAAATCAAAAATTTCAAACTTTTTAATTTTCTTATGTACATTTTCTTAAATCTTTTTATTTTAAAATTCTAGCATTAGTTTGAGCTTTATCCATAAGTCTTTTAAATATTCGGTGATAAAAATAATGCAGGTTTTTGTCAGCTCTTAGTGTGTATATTGCTTTTGACTAGTTGTTAATTTCTTTAATTTTATATCTTTGTCAAATCAAAAAACAAAAAAAAAAAAAAAAGAATTTGAAAATCACAAATACCCTTATGTGTTCTATACAATTTCTTTAGTAGTTTATATGCATCTTTCACTTTATTTTACCTTTTCCAAATTCTTAAATAATTTTTGAGTGCTATAAATTGTGGTGTAGTGTGTTGGTTCAAGGATCATCTGTATGGCATAAGTGAGGTGAAAAGAAAAGATTATAAAAAGAATATTTAAAAAAAATGAGTGTTTTATTTATTTTGTTTGCAATAATTTTAGAGATTCTACTCCGCTGAATCAGCCACATATACACATGTACCATAAATAAATAAATAAGTGTCGTGGTCTGGTTTATGAGTACACACAAAATTGAAAATCCAAACAAGTCTGGCGTAAAATGGCGAGGTTTTTGGGGAAGTTCTCTTTGGAAGAAGTCAAAATAGAAAAATAATGAGTGAACTTTGGAAGAGACGAGCAATTGCATTTCAATTTTAATAAATGCCTTGATCATGATTTCCTTCATGTTTTGCACCTGCACTATGATAGAATATTTCTGAATTTGGTTTAGGTTGAATTTGGTGAAATTTTCATATTTTTCTATTGAGTTCTTTTGTATAGTTCATATAAGAGGTGTCAGCACACGAGCACACATTTTATATTTATTTTAGTTGTTAAAGTTTTTAATTTCTAGTCAAATGTTTTATACATTCTTTGAGTTGGCACTAACTTTGCATTGGTAGCAATAATTTGGAAGTCTATTTGGGTAAAGCTCGATCTTATACTTGAATTTATTTTAATTTCTTTTCAGGTTAATAATGTCTTTGCTTGAGGACAAGCAAATAAATAAGTGTGGGGAGATTTGATAAACATTATTTTTATTGTTATTTTAAATAATCTTTTTATAGTTAATTTGCAATAGTTAACAAATTTTATATATATTTCTATTATTATTGTTATAAATATCTTTGTTAGTATTATTCATTTTTAGGACTGTTTTTATTAAATTTGTTTATTATTTGAGTTCTATAGCAACAACAATTTCTTAATCTCAATTTAATAAGGTTATTATTATTAGGGAAAATCAACGATTTGGTCCCTCAATTGTTAGCGAAATATCAATGTAGTCCCTTAATCGCTAAATCATCGATTTAGTCCCTGGAAATAACTGTTTTTAGTTGATTTGCCCCCTCCGACCGTTTCCCGTTGAGAATCCGGCGAATGCTCCGATTTGGCATGGGTAAGTTTGTCATTTCACATTTTGGTCCTATTTTTTTTGCCCTATTTAACTGGTTTAGTCTTCTTCTTCTTCAACGATACAAGAGATTGAACAGAGAGCAGGTTTGAAGAGATTGAACAGAGAGAGTAGTACTCTACAATATGAAACCATAGAGAGTAGTACTATCACATATGCAAAACAATATATGTAAAGTATATGCTTGTCAATAACTCAACAGAGAAACTGCAGCATACCGCATCCCACAATAGGAACAGCTCAAACAGGCCAATTGGGGGCTCTGAATTAAACCGAAGCTTTTCATTTCTTGGACATTGCTATTTCGTTCTCCATTTTCTGTGCAAAAACCTTTGTTGCAATCATAGTTTCATCAAAGTATGTTGCATAAGGATGGCCCTTGGGCACCAATCTCCGGAACTTCTCGAAGTTCTTCTCAGCTTCATTGTTTTTCCTCAATAATGTGTATATGATCCCTTGGCATATGTATGGTCTAAAGTCCCTGGGCTCCTCCTTCACCAATTCCTGATAAACCTTCAAAGCCTCATCATGCTTTCCTTCAATCACCCGAATTTGCGCCTCCAAAAGCTTGAAATCCCTAAATTCTGCCTTCTTGCCTTGCTTCTTACACAACTTCATCCCCTCCTCGATTCTTTTCTCGATTTCCATCAAATCCTGGGTCGATTTGGACTTGGATGCAGCCATTACCAGTCCGTGATAAGCCTCAGCCCTAAAAGGGTCCTTTGCCAGAATCTCATTGAATCCATTTTTCGCCGTTTCCACCTCTCCACTGTAAGCATACAAATGGGACTTCAGCAACGGCCACTCCGTATCGCTCGGGTCAATCTCCATCAATCGATCGATAATGCCAATAGCTTTTGCAATTTTCCGGCTCTGGATCTTCATCTCCATCAAACTCCTTAACGCTCCAACATCGTTTGGATTCAATAGCAAATTCTCTTCCAGAACTCTCTCTTTATCTTCGTCGGAAAACGCGGTCTCCACGGCGGCCGGGGCTGAAACGGGGGCTCCAGAACTCTTTCTTCTTCAAATCTGCTCTTTGTTCAATCTCTTCAAATCTGCTCTTTGTTTGATCTCTTCAAACCTGCTCTCTGTTCAATTTCTTGTATCGTTGAAGAAGAAGAAGACAAAACCAATTAAATAGGACAAAAAGAATAGGACCAAAATGTGAAATGACAAACTTACCCATGTCAAATCGGAGCATTCGTCGGATTCTCAACAGAAAACGGTCAGAGGGGGCAAATCAACTAAAAACAGTTATTTCCAGGGACTAAATCGATGATTTAGCGATTAAGAGACTACATTGATATTTTGCTAATAATTGAGGGACCAAATCGTTGATTTTCCCTTATTATTATATCAAATATCAATATCAATAATAAAGGATCGCAGACTTCTTCTCCGTAGTCAATAACTACGATCCGATTGAACTGCGCAAGTTTTGAGCGAGAGAAAAGATCAATGACACTATGTGATTCAAGATATTTCTGCGACTATTCTCCATCGAAATTACGGAAGTGCAGTTAGAATGGACAGTATAAAGGAGTGCAAAATCGGAGAAGACATCATCAGTTTTGCCCCGGACCAATTCCGGTGGCGGCATTTGAGAATTCTGATCGGCCACAGCGATAATTAATTCCGACGGTGCGGAGGATTGTTCTTCGGCATCTTCAATTCCAATTTGGTGGCGAATTCTCCCTTTGACAGCAAAGACATTCTTTGGCAATGACAATTTATTCACGGTAAATGTTCTCTCTTATCTTCACTTATTGTTAATTGCCATATTATTTAGTGCTTAATTGCTAATGAAATTGTGATTAGTCTTTTGAGAACAAGAGGTTGTGATTAGCCTTTTTGAAAGTTGATCAGGAGGTTCTATAATCTCAATTAATATTTTAAGTTTTGTTTCTGCAATTTCAATTAATATTTTAATTAGTTCATTGCATTTGATTTTAAGTGAAAGTTGATTAGGAGTTTTGTTTCTGCAATTTTAATTCAGCGCATAATAGTTGGTTATCTCTTAAACATGATTTACTAAGTTTTAATTGATTCATGTTTCTAGTCATTTTTCTTAATTATCTGCTATCTCAATTTCCTTGGTTTTTGATTATATTAGTTTCCTAAGGTGCCTTTATTTGATTTAATTTTCGAAACTTTATTTTGAATTCTTTTCGCTCTTTATTCCTGTGCTATTTTATTTCGTAGTTATTCAGTTATTTTGGATTTATGTTTGCAATATCATTGGGTTAAATACATTTTGATTCTTAATTAGCATTGAATTTTAAAATTGTCAAGTTTATATTATTTGTAAGTAATTAAATTGCATCGTACAATTCTCTGTGGGATCGACCCTTGCTAAAGGCACGCTAAAACTACAATTGACTCGTGCACTTGCGAGGACTAACTAAATTGTCCATCACATAGATAATTGAATGTTAAATTTGCGTATTTAAATAGACAATTCTAAGTTTACAAATGCAAGATAATATAGTTAAGATTTATTATAATTGTCAATAAAATAATTGTATAGGTATAGTTGAAATCAAATACGGGACATAAGGGGAGCAAATACAAATTAGGCATAAAATATTAAAATATTGAAGAGCTAATTGCGGATTGCCAAACAAGGACATTGCGAGATAGTTTCCTACTTCAATAGGTTGTGTGAATTGAATACTCTTTTTGTCAATAAATCCCTCAAGTAGTTAATATGATTGGCTTAATTTTATTTTTTTTATTTTTTAAAACAATTATTATTATTATTATTATCATTATATATATATATATATATATATATATATATATATATATATATATATACACCCTTACGTCATTTTCCATGTTAATCTAAACATCTAATTTTTTCAAATATCTTTTTACCAACCGTTGATATAATTCGCTGGTCAAATTCGCTAATATAATCTGCTAACGCTAACCGTTGATTGTCAAACAAGGACATTGAGAGGTAGTTCTCACATCAATTTGTTGTGTGATTTGAATACTCTCTGTGACACCCCAAAAATCCACAATCCAAACCATGAATTAATTGAGTAATTAATTCTATTTCTTTTGAGGAATTGATTCCTAAAATCCTGATTTTTGATACTCAAGGACTAGTATTTGACTAGTCAATCTTTAAGTGGTGTTGTACCTTGTGCTTTGAGAGGAGTTCCCTTGTTCCTTACACTTTCTAAGAGTTAGTAAGGGTATCCTTGTCTTTTCACCAAGAGCTAGTTTTGTAACCTAAACCTAGAAGACTTCTTCATTTCATTCACTTACCTTTCCTAGAAAATATCTCTACCTTCTCTCTAGAAAACAAGAGTAGCTTGTTCTCCAAGCCAAAAGAAGCCTTTGTCAAGATTCCAAGTTTTGCTTCCAAGATTCAATCTTTCCTCTATTTTGGCATCTAGAAGGGTAAGATCTAAGCTTGTCTAGTCTTTTTGGTTCCATCTTGGTTGTCTTTTCTTAAAGGTTGGATCTTTATGATCTTTTGGTTTGATCTTGAAGTGGGTTTGGCTAGTGAGCTTAGTGGAGAGCTTGTTGTGGTGTAAGAAGAGTCTTTTGGTCTTCAAGAGGTAACCCATGCTCTACAAAACCTATTTTGCTTACCTATATATGATTTCTTGGCTTCTACTTGTGTTTTGATATGAAATGTGAGAGTTTATGCATTTATCTTGTGATATTGCATATCTAGAGCTTGTGTTTAGGTTTCCTTTGTGCCATTGCTTGGCATTTTCCTTGGTTCAAGTCATTTTGTTGTGCTTGGTGAGTTTTGGCATGTTTTGGACTTGAATTTGTGTTTGGAGAAGAAAATCCCTGAAGGGATTTGTTGTTGTACAGGGATGTACCCGCAGGCGGAACGGCGGGCGGGGCACCACCCGCCGGCCTACCCGCGGGGAACATGTGCCTTGTGGGTAGTGTACCCGCGGGCGGGACCACGGGTGGGGCACTACCCGTGGGTCCACCCGCGGGGTACACGGTGGCGTTTGGTTCGGGATTTGTTCCCCGTGATTTGTTTGTCTCGGTCTTTGATCTTTTGGCCTCCCGTTGTTCTTTTGTGGAACTATTTGAGCGTCTTCTTGATGTTTCGTAGGTCTAGAGCTTTATGGTAGGTATCCATGTTGGATCTTTGGTGTTGTGAATCGTGCTAAGTGTTCAACATTGTGTTTCGTTGAACCGTGTGGTGTCTTGTGTGTTCCTCGGAACTATCTTGAGTTTCCTCGTTGTTGAGCTTGCTAGTTATTATCTTAATGCTAGCGTCGTTGTTGTCGATGGGTGGTGACCTGTCTCTTGATTGAGTATGTTTCGTACCTCTTTTGCAATCCGTTGCTAGTTTCGTGTGAGTGGTGGTGCGTGTGTGGCTCTACCTGGATTGCACGATTAGTGGTATGGAACGCTAGTCACCAAGGTATTGCAGCGGTCCTCGTGGTGGCCGTGACGTGATTTCATGGAGTTGTGGCTGAGTCCACGTGTTTGGGGGATAACATTGTGTTATCCGGGCATGTGTTGCCGTGAATTAGTGGGTTTTCGTTGGTGGTTATAGGTGGGGGACGACGGTCCCGGAGGAATAAGGTTGGACTTGGCTGTACAGGGGCTTTCTGGAGGTAATGGTTGGCACCGAAGGTACAAGGTTGGTGGTAGCCATAAGGTTGGAACAGGGCATAAGGAAGGCATATCAACTCGTGATGGGTGATGTCACGAGGGCTTGTGAAGCCGTTGTTGTGGTGAGTTCTCTTCTCTCGGGACGTGTGTAGTCACGGAGGCTTGTGGTGTGGTGTTTTGGCATGTGTTGCCGTTGGGTGAGTCTTTATCCTTGTGTGTGGTCAATCTCTGTGGTTGGGATGTGTTCCCGGTTTTATCCTTGTGAGTGATGAGTCTTGTGTTGTCTTTTGATCTTGGCTTTTGACTTATATATATGTATTCCGTTTCGAAAATGGTTTTCATATTATATATCTACCTATTTATGATACTTAACGGTATTGGTGGGTTACCAGTATCTTTCGCTGACCGGGCGTCGCCCCGATGTTTATCTTTGTATCTTTCAGGTGATGCGTAGTCGAACGCGATGTCTAGAGCCAGTAGCTTAGCACCTGTATCTTTAGACATTGAGGCCTGTGTGCCAATGTCTTTAGATTGTTCTAGTTTGTTGTTTTTGGGATAGTGTTACACTTGCAGATTGTCGCCGTAGCATATACCTAGTGTGGTATACGTGGCATAACACCCCGTTTTGGATTCCTTTTATCCAGTTATCTTTTTATCTTCCGCTGTGCTAGTTTTGTGCTTGATCTGCAGGTGTTAAGACTCGTTTTAAGTCTTGTTGTTTTGGGGGGGTGTTACAGTTGGTATCAGAGCCTAGGTTTGAACCTTGGTTTAGAGCCTAGGAAGAGTTGAGTCTAGACTTTCTAAGTGTTTAAGTGTGTTTTGAGACCTCTAAGCGACCTTAAGGAGTTAAGTGTTAGGCTTAGGACTCTAGGTTGCGCGGTGAGATGTGTGTTGTTTTCTGTCTTGCTTGCTTGCTTTTTTTGTGGCAACCTTTTTGTTGTAGCAAAAGTGCGATGCCTCCTCGTCCTCGCGCCCGCTCCCCAGAGACCCCGACCAATGAGCAGCTCACCCAGAATCTCCATCAGTTGACGTAGACGATGCAGTCTCTCAGTGAAGCTCTGTTGAACAACAATCTAGCTGCGCCGCCTCCGCCTCCTGTTGGGCACCGTGATGTGGATCGCCTTGTGTCTGGGCATCGGCCGCCTTCCTTTGCTGGTGAAGAAGACCCTGTAGTCCTTGAAGAGTGGCTATGGGTGTTTGATAAGATCTTTACCGTGGTGGGTTGTCCCGAAGAGAGGAGAGTAGAACTGACAACGTTCTACTTCTGCCAAGAAGCTAATCTGTGGTGGGTTCACGAGAGTTCGGCCTTTCTTGAAGAACCTGGGTTTGATTGGACTGCGCTCAAGGACAGGATGCGCGAAAGGTTCTACCCAGCGCATGTGCGAGCCGCCATGTTTGATGAGTTCCTTCATCTACAGCAAGGACCCCTATCTGTGGTGGAGTACCACAAGAAGTTCCTAGAGCTGGCGCGCTTCGCGAGGGTGTTGGTACCTACAGAGCTTGCCAAGGTTGAGCGTTTCGTTGCCAGTCTGAATTATGAGGCACGAAAAGCGTTGACAGTGAGTAGACCCAGTTCCCTCAAGGATGCGTATCTGTGTGCCGCGGATCTGTTTCGTGTTCAGCAGCTTCAGAAGAGTTCGCTTGAGTTGGCTAGGAAGAGAGTTGAGAGTGGTGGTTCTTTTGCTTTCAAGAAGCCCCGACCGAGTTTTCCGGCTAGAGTTGTGTCATCTTCTTCTCAAGGACCAGTTAGGATGGAGCCTCCAGTTCAAGCTAAGTCGGTTGGTTGTCGCAAGTGTGGGAAGGTGCATCCGGGTCAAGTTTGCTCTGGCCAGGCATTTAAGTGTTTTCGCTGTGGGGCTGTTGGTCATAGAGTTTCGGAGTGTCCTCAGCTTGTCGGTCAGAGAGTGTTGCCGCCATCCCCGGGAGTCGGAGGAGCACCAGGAGTGAGTTCGAGTCGTGGAGCTGTTGGAGCTAGGCCGCCGGGGAGAGTTTTTGTGATGG